GGGCCCTTTCCAAGGGGGTAGAACAACAGGGTCTACCAGGGTAGAATACAACAAACCCCTACCACTAGAATACAACCGGGGGTTACCAAAGGGAGAAAATAAAAACGGGGCCCTACCCCGGCTAGAAAACAACAGAAACCCCTTTCCAGGCTAAATTTCAAAAAACCTCTTTTCCAGGCCCAAATACAAAGATCTACCAGGCAAATTTCAACCCAACCCCTACCGGCTTTGAATACAACAGACCTCCCCAGGCTAAATAAACAGCCTTACCCGAATAAATACCAAAAAGGGCCCTACCCCCTTAAAAACCCCCAGGGGCTCTACCAGGCTAGAATACAACAGGACTCTACCAGGCTAGAATACAACAGACCTTTACCAGGCTAGAATACAAAAGGGCTTTTAAAAGGCTAGAATACAACAGGCCTCTACCAGGCTAGAATACAACAGGCCCTATACCAGGGGTAGAATAAAAACAGAAACCCCTCCCAAGGGTAAATACAAAGGAAACCCACCAGGAGGAAAAACAACAGGCCCCCCCCACCAGGTGAAACCCCAGGCCCTCCCCGGGAGAACAACAGGACTCTACCAGGGTAGAAAAACAGCCCAAAATCTACCCGGCTAGAAAAACAGGGCCCCAACCCGGCTAAAATACAAAGGACCCCTACCGGCTAGAAACAAAAGGAATCTAACCCGCCTTGAAACAACAGGACCTTCCATTGGCTTTTTTGAATACAAAAGACCTCACCCGGGTAGAATCCAAAAGACCTCTACCAGGCTAGAATACAACAGGCCTCTACCAGGCTAGAATACAACAGACCTCTACCAGGCTAGAATACAGCGACCCCCTACCAGGCTAGAAACAACGACCTCTCCAGGCTAAAATACCAAAAAGGGCTTTTAAACCCGGCTTGAAACAACAGGAACCCCTACCCCCCGGCCTTTGAAACCCAAAAAGGGCCCTTTCCCGGCTTTAAAAAAACCCAAAGGGGCCCCTACCCGGGTAGAAACAAAACAACCCCTACCAGGCTAAATAAACAGACCTCTACCAGGGTAGAATCCCCCAAGGGCCTTTCCGGCTAGAATAAAAACGACCTCTCCCCGGGTAGGGAAAACAACAGGCCCCCTTTCCAGGCTTAGAATACAAAAGACCTTACCAGGCTAAAAAACAACGGGGGTCTACCAGGCTAGAAAACAACAGACCTCTAACCGGCTAGAATACAAAAGGCCTCTACCGGCTTTGGGAATTTAAAAAAGGCCCCTACCCCCGGCTAGAATCAACAACCCCTACCAGGCTAAAAACAACAAAAACCCCTACCAGGCTAGAATTTCAACAGACCCTTACCCGGTAAATACAACCCGGGCCTCTACCAGGGAAAATTTCAAAGGACTCTTACCAGGCTAGAATACAAACAGGCCTTACCAGGGTAGAATACAACAGGACCCCTACCATGCTAGAAAACAACAGGCCTTTACCAATGCTAGAATACAAAAAGAACCCCTACCAACTAGAAACCCAGACCTTACCAGGCTAGAATAAACAGACCTTACCCGGCTTTAAAAAAACAAAAGGACTTACGGTAGAAACAAAAAAGACCTCACCCGGGTAGAATAAAAAGGGCCCCTACCAATTTGAATCAAAAGGGCCTACCCGGCTGAATACAACCCGAACCCCTAAACCCGGCCAGAAAACAAAAAAGGGCCCCTACCCCTAGAAACAAAAGGCCCCTCTAAAAAGGGTAAAACAACAGGCTCTACCCGGCTAGAACAACGACCTTACCAAAGGGTAAATACAACAGACCTCTACCAGGGTAAAACAAAAAGGGCCCTTTTACCAGGCTAGAATAAACAGACCATTTCCAGGGTTTTAAAAACCCAAAAGACCTCTACCAGGGAGAAAACAACAGACCTCACCGGGCCCCTAAGGAAAAAATACAAAAGGCCCCTAACCCGGCAGAATAAAAAGACCTCTACCAGGGGTAGAAAAACAAAAGACCTCTACCGGAGAATACAACAGGCCTCTACCAGGCTAGAATACAAAAAGACCTCTCCCCGGGTTGAATCAACAAGACCTCTACCAAAGGGTAGAAAACAACCGGACTCTACCAGGCTTTGAAACCCAGGCCTTTTTACCAGGCTTTGAAAAAAAAGGGCTCTTTCCAGGGTTTGAATAAACCGGGCCTACCAGGGTAAATACAAAAGACCTCTACCAGGCTAAATACAAAAGACCTCTACCCGGCTAGGAAAACAACAGGCCCCCCCCAGGCTAGAATAAAACCAGACCTCTACCAGGCTAGAAAACAACGGCCTTACCAGGGTTTTAAAACCAACCCCTTTCCCAGGCTAGAAAAACCCGCCTCTACCAAAGGGTAGAATACAACAGACCCACCAGGTAGAATACCAAAAGACCTCTACCAGGCTGAATACAAACAGGGCTCACCAGAAGAATACAACAGCCTCTACCAGGGTAAAAATACAACAGGGGTTTACCCGGGTAAAAATACCAAAAGGCCCCCACCAAAGGGTAGAATACAACAGGCCTCTACCAGGCTAGAATACAACAGACCTCCCACCCGGCAGAATACAACAGACCTCTACCAGGGGTAATACCCAAAAGGGGCCCCCTACCCGGCTAAATACAAAAACCTCTACCAGGTAGAATAAAACAAAAACCTCTACCCGGCTGGGAAAACAAAAACCCTTTCCAGGCTAGAAAAAAAAAGGGACTCCCACAGGGGTAGAAAAACACAGGGTCTACCAGGGTAGAATAAAACCAGGCCTCTACCAGGCTTAAAAATACAACAACTCTACCAGGCTAAATACAAAAAAGACCCTACCAAACAGAATCAAAAACCCCCTCCCGGGTAAATACCAAAACCCCCTACCAAGGGTGATACAAAAGACCCCTACCCGAAAAAACAACAGGACTCTACCAGGCTAGAATCCCAAAAGGACTTACCAGGGTAGAAAAAAAAACCCCCTAACCCCGGCAGAAAACAACAGGCTTTTTACCAGGCCTAAAAATACAACAGCCTCTACCCCGGGTAAAATTTTCAAAAGGCCCCACCAGGGTGACTACAAAAAGACCCCTTTTCACAGGCTTTGAATTTCACCGGGCTCCCCACCAGGCTAGAAATTTTCAACAAAACCCCTACCAGGTAGAAACAAAAAACCTTTTCCCCGGCCCCCAATACAAAGACCCCTACCAGGCTTTGAATACAACAAAAACCCCTACCAGGCTAGAATACAACAGGACCCCTTTCCCGGCTAGAATACAACAGGACCTACCCGGCTAGAATTTAAAAAAAAAGACCTCACCAGGTAGAATAAAAAAACAGGCTTCTCCCCGGTAGAATCAACAACCCTACCAGGTTGAAATTTCAACAACCTCTAACCCGGCTAGAACAACAGGGCCCCTACCCGGTTGAAAAAAAGGCCCGGCCCCCTCCAGGGTAAAAGAAACAAAAGGACCTACCAGGGTAGAATAAAAAAGGACTCTTTCCCGGCTAGAAAACACATGGGGCCCCTCCCCCGGGTAGAATACAACAACCCTTTCCAGGCTAAATCCCCAAGGGGGTTTAACCCCGGGTAGAATCAAAAACCCCTACCAGGCCCAGAATACAACAGGCCCCACCAGGGTCGGGAAAACAAAACCTCTACCGGGTAAATACAACAGACCTCTACCAAACTAAATCAACGGACCCCACCCGGCTAGAATACAACAGACCTCTACCCGGCTAAAACAACCCCTCCAAGCCCTCAAATTCATTTTCGTCCCTTTGCATTTGGTTTTGTTGGGCCCCTTTTCCTTGAGTGTACTAGAAGTTCCCCCCAGACTGCAGCAGACTTAGACCCAGCCTTTGTATCATTTTTGTGAGGGAATTTCCCCAGGGCCTTTCCTATCTCCGGCCCCTTTTGGAACACATGACGGGCCCCGGGCCCCATTGCCCCTGCGCCCCCGACCCGGCAGTAGAGGTGAGGTCATAAAAGGCCCCGGGTCATAAAGGTTTAAAACCTAAACCGGGCAAAGCGGGGCAATAAGGTATAAAGGCAAGGCGGTCCCTTTAAAGGCCGGGGGGTTTTAAGGAAGGTCAAAAGGGCCCCGAGTTTTTTAGAAAAGGGCCCCGAGGGGTTTTCCCCTAAGGGCCCGGGGGGTCCTTTTAAAGGTCCCCAAAAAAGCTTTTAAAAAGTGTTTCCCAAAGCCCTGTAATTAAAAACTCTTGAGCGGGGACTTTAACTATTTAAAAAACCCCCGGGTTTGAAGCTCTATCGGGATTCCATGTTAACAAAAAAGCCTTTTTCTCAAGCTCAAAAAACTCGGCCTTGGCGATCTTTGCCCTTTTACCATTTTAAAAAATTAAGCGAACCGGGGCCCCCAAAGTCAAAAGGGGGCAAAAAGGGGGGCCCCTTTCATACCCAATTTTCGGAAACCCAAAACGGCCCAAAGACCCCAGCCAACCATAAAAGTAAAAAGGCAGAGTAAATAAAGGCAGGGGCAAAAAGGTCTAAAGGAAGGGGTCTAAGGAAGGGTCATGGCATGGAAATTTAAAAAACAGATCTAAATCAAAAGGCGGGTTTCTAAACAAGGCAAAAGCGGTCAAAGAAAGGGAAATAACCAAAAAAGAGGAAAAAGGAAGGGGAAAAGGGGGAGGAAAAAGGGTTAGGAGGATAAAGGAAAAAGGGAGGAAAAGGCAAAGGGGGGGTCATAAAGGAGATTTTGGAGTGGGGGAAAAAAAGTTTTTAGAATAAGGGGGCCCGGTTTTTTTTGGGGTTTTTTTGAAGTTAGAATGTGGAAAAAAATGGAAAAGGGGCACATATTACAGTATTAAAAAATGATTTTATTTTTTGCTGAGACCCCCCTTCCGTTAACTGCAGACTGCGGGTGCCCTGATTTTTAGGCGTCTTACAGTAGGACACAGTTTTCTGGAAGTCACCAGCTTCTCGTTGCCCCCTAGCCGGGTTCAGGTAGCCCCGGTCAGGTAGTCTGGGTCCCCCCCCTGGGGTTATCTGGGCCAGGGCAACTGCGAGGGGGGGGGAGAGAGAGAAGGGGATCTAAACCCTGGCCCCCAAGAAAAAAAGAAAAATGTAATAACTAACACTATGGCCAATGTATATTACTAAAACCTTAAAAACACAATGGTGATAACTAACACATGACCCAAAGTGATAATAACACTATTGACACAATGTAATCCCAAAAATGGACAATTAAATCTAACACTATAAAACAAAGTTAATAACTAACACTAAGACACAATGTGATACAACACTTGGAACAAAGTTTAAAAAACACCCCTATGGCACAAAGTTTTTAACTAACCATGGGCCAATGTAATAAAATAAAACATGGGCACAATGTAAAATAAATAACACTTTGACAAAAATGTAGTAAATCATATGACACAATGTAAAACTAATACTATGACCATTAAAACTAACACTATAACACAATTATAACAAACTATGACACAATGTATTAACAAAAACTATAACAATGTAATAACCAACTATAGCACATTTAAACAAAACTATGGAACAAAGTTTAAAATAACACAAAAAAAAAAAACCCAAAGTAAAACTAACACTATGGACACAATGTATATAACTAACACTATGGACACAATGTATATAACTAACACTATAGACATAATGTACAGTGAGGGAAAAAAGTATTTGATCCCCTGCTGATTTTGTACGTTTGCCCACTGACAAAGAAATGATCAGTCTATAATTTTAATGGTAGGTTTATTTGAACGTGAGAGACAGAATAACAACAAAGAAATCCAGAAAAACGCATGTCAAAAATGTTATAAATTGATTTGCATTTTAATGATGGAAATAAGTATTTGACCCCCTCTCAATCAGAAAGATTTCTGGCTCCCAGGTGTCTTTTATACAGGTAACGAGCTGAGATTAGGAGCCCCACTCTTAAAGGGAGTGCTCCTAATCTCATTTTGTTACCTGTATACAAAGACACCTGTCCACAGAAGCAATCAATCAATCAGATTCCAAACTCTCCACCATGGCCAAGACCAAAGAGCTCTCCCAGGATGTCAGGGACAAGATTGTAGACCTACACAAGGCTGGAATGGGCTACAAGACCATCGCCAAGCAGCTTGGTGAGAAGGTGACAACAGTTGGTGCGATTATTCGCAAATGGAAGAAACACAAAATAACTATCAATCTCCCTCGGCCTGGGGCTCCATGCAAGATCTCACCTCGTGGAGTTGCAATGATAATGAGAACGGTGAGGAATCAGCCCAGAACTACACGGGAGGATCTTGTCAATGATCTCAAGGCAGCTGGGACCATAGTCACCAAGAAAACAATTGGTAACACACTACGTCGTGAAGGACTGAAATCCTGCAGCGCCCGCAAGGTCCCCCTGCTCAAGAAAGCACATATACAGGCCCGTCTGAAGTTTGCTGACTGATTCAGAGAACTGGGTGAAAGTGTTGTGGTCAGATGAGACCAAAATGGAGCTCTTTGGCATCAATTCAACTCGCCATGTTTGGAGGAGGAGGAATGCTGCCTATGACCCCAAGAACACCATCCCCACCGTCAAACATGGAGGTGGAAACATTATGCTTTGGGGGTGTTTTTCTGCTAAGGGGACAGGACAACTTCACTGCATCAAAGGGACGATGGACGGGGCCATGTACCGTCAAATCTTGTGTGAGAACCTCCTTCCCTCAGCCAGGGCATTGAAAATGGGTCGTGGATGGGTATTCCAGCATGACAATGACCCAAAACACACGGCCAAGGCAACAAAGGAGTGGCTCAAGAAGAAGCACATTAAGGTCCTGGAGTGGCCTAGCCAGTCTCCAGACCTTAATCCAATAGAAAATCTGTGGAGGGAGATGAAGGTTCGAGTTGCCAAACGTCAGCCTCGAAACCTTAATGACTTGGAGAAGATCTGCAAAGAGGAGTGGGACAAAATCCCTCCAGAGATGTGTGCAAACCTGGTGGCCAACTACAAGATACCTCTGACCTCTGTGATTGCCAACAAGGGTTTTGCCACCAAGTACTAAGTCATGTTTTGCAGAGGGGGTCAAATACTTATTTCCCTCATTAAAATGCAAATCAATTTATAACATTATACACTATAGACACAATGTATATAACTAACACTACGGACACAATGTATATAACTAACACTATGGACACAATGTATATAACTAACACTATAGACACAATGTATATAACTAACACTATAGACACAATGTATATAACTAACACTATGGACACAATGTAGATAACTAACACTATGGACACAATGTATATAACTAACACTATGGACACAATGTAGATAACTAACACTATGGACACAATGTAGATAACTAACACTATGGACACAATGTATATAACTAACACTATGGACACAATGTAGATAACTAACACTATGGACACAATGTAGATAACTAACACTATGGACACAATGTAGATAACTAACACTATGGACCCGCTTGAAAGATCTCCAAGTGCTTTTCAGTCCAGCCTAATCAGTGGCTGGGGGACTTACAGTAACAAAACAAAACCTTTTGATAAGATAGAAGTAATGGAATATTGTTATTGATAAAATGATGTAATGTATCTAAATATATAGAACAGTTTAGTCACATGATATCAGGGTTAAGAAGTTTCAGAAGTAAAACGTTTTAAGTCAAAGTCTCCCATTTTGGGGCCCGGTAACTAACTTGTTACTGAAGCATTCATTAAGCAGTGGGTATAGGGGTGAGTAGGGAGTTTTATGTCAACAACAAGACCCACATCCAAGCTCAGGTTGCAAGGCTCTCTCTGGGCCCCCAGTCCCTTGTATCCTGTGGAAGCCACACATTAACCCCCGATGCTCCTCAAGATTCAGTTTAGATAACATCATAGAAATAGAATGTACTACAGTCAGATGTACCATGGTCTGAGGGGCTTTGTCCATTCTAGTCCATTCTATTTCTATGGATAATCCCAGGAGGAAAGGTTTGATACGACACCATGTTCTTTCAACATTGTTGAAATGCTGCAATGGAAAAGCTAGAGAACAGATCTCGATCACTCTGCCCCCTGGCATCCACCATGATGACGCGTTAAATTAATGACAACAGCAGCATCCCCTCGTCATATCTCTCCACACAACCTCACTGCAGCTTTACTGCCATCTGAGTTTAAAACTACATCTTGGAACCGGTTCAGGGAACAGAACCCGAAAACCGGAAAATAACAGAAATGGAACCGGGTAGGAAACTGATCCATACTATACCGGAACAGAACCGTCTTTTTACATTCCAGGCATTTTTTTCAGTCCAACAAAAAAATGCATCAAAGCACCTATGCAAAACCCTCACTCTGTCACTGAAACGTATTCCAGTGTCGGCCTGCCAGCTGGAAACCTTTGCCAGTGTGTGTTTATGCGTATTCCAGTGTCTGCCTGCCAGCTGAAAACCTTTGCCAGTGTGTGTTTATGCGTATTCCAGTGTCGGCCTGCCAGCTGGAAACCTTTGCCAGTGTGTGTTTATGCTACCTTCCTCTCCCCCCTCCGAAGCAGAGGCTACTGACCTTACAAGCTTTATTCAGAAGAAAGGGAGAGAGATATTTAATTAGCTAGAGAAGAATGGATTCACTTTTTCAACGCTAGTTAAGGATACTATAGGCCTAGTGATCACGTTTCACGTTGGATTTATTAACTACAAAATGGTAAGAAGTGTTTTTTATTCTGGTGCCGCTCACCACACACACAAGCTTGTTAGCTAGCTAGCCCAAAGGACATTCAGCGTTCCTCCATAGAAGCCGCTCCTCCGTAGGTATAATTCTGTGGACCTAATTCAGATAATGCATGTCATAACAAGATGCCGAGTGCTTCATGCCTCCTCCTCAACCCTCTCTCGCTCTCTCCTCACCCGTAACATTTCAGTGGCATCTTGCGCCATTGGCTACACTCGTCTGTCCATCACGCTTGTAAACAACCAGCTCGCCGGCTCTATCCGCTCTGACTGGTCAAGTCATTTAATGAGCTAAATGTACAAAAAACGGTTGATTTCACAGGTTAAAAAAGGAACAGAAAGGAACGATATTAACCAGATTTTTTTGTTTTTTGTTTTTTAGAACCAGTTCCTGACTTTATTTTGGAGGTCGGAACAGTGGAACGGACAGATTTTTTGGGGGGGGAGGAGTTTCATCCCCTGCCGCTCAAATTGACAGTGCTGTATTATAAATCCCAAAAGACATCCAGGATCATATTACAAAATCTCATCCTATGAAATAGTTTTTGCCTCATATCAACTGTTCATTAACTGTTCATTAAGAACGTGGAATGTTACCCAAATACCCAAATAGCTAACATCTCTCAACACTTCAATAACAGTATGTTGAACAAATGAAAAAAATGAGAAAGATCGGTGGGCCTTGTATTCTACTTCAACATGGCTAGTGAACTTGACAGGGACTCTCTCTCCGTCTTACCTTGAGCATCTCTTTATACTTCCCCATCTCCGAGTGGGCGGTGATGAGACAGCCCAGCACTCTGAACTTCCCCCCGGGGTCCGAGGTCTTCTCCAGCACCTTGGTCCAGACATGCAGGGCTTTGTCAGTCTGGTTGGCCTGGTACAGCTTTAAGCCTTTCTCTATCTGCTGCTTGGTTTGGTCCTGACCCATCTCTGCTACTAGGAGGTGCCTCATAAAAATATTCATCCGTTTAGGTGTTGTTTGGCTTTCGGTGGAGGACCAAGAAAGTAGATCCTTGCCCACGCACAGTGGGTTACGTTAAGAAAGTAGATCCTTGCCCATGCACAGTGGGTTACGTTAAGAAAGTAGATCCTTTCCCAGGCACAGTGAGTTACGTTTCCAAAGATCTGGTCGTAAAGACTGAGGATCCTCTAACGATCTACGATTCTCTGACGTTCCTCTCTGTGGCCTCTCTCTCGCTCTCTCTCTGATCCAGTAGGTCTCGATCCAACTCTCTCAGCTCCGGCAGGCGACGGGTCAGTAGGACTGGGAGGAAACTGGATCCAGCGCCTTAAAGGACCAGCCAACTAACACCTTCATGCCTCATCACTTAGAGGAAGAGACGGAAGGAAAACCAAACATGTCCCTTCCTACTTCCTCGGTCCAACAATAACACCTTTAAGTGTTCACACTTCAGTTCTCCCGAAGAAATTCTGCTTGGAAAAAACGTGACAGAAATACGTCTCCCTGCGAAGTGCTGGGAGCGGTATCCCAGAATATCTGCTCCCTCCCTCCACACCCCTGTGAAAGGAATGCCCAGCGCCCCAGTGTCCCCAACCCCCTCACCCACTCCGCCCCTATCCCTGTCCCTGGGCTGGCGCTGCAGCAGATGCCCCTGTCAATCTGGACCATGTGTCCCTACAGGAATCCTGCTCTGTCCTCTGTTCACAGATCCAAGGTCCCGATAGGAGACGCTACACCCTCTCTACCCTCAACCCTTCAACCAAACTCTGACTGGAGTTAAAACGCTACCACCACAACCCAGCCATCAGAAAAGACATAGGGCTTCACCCAGAAATGGATCTGACCTGGGCATGTCACTCACACCGTGGGGCGGGAGGGTCTGGATCTGACCTGGGCATCTCATTCACACCGTGGGGCGGGAGGGTCTGGATCTGACCTGGGCATGTCACTCACACCGTGGGGCGGGAGGGTCTGGATCTGACCTGGGCATGTCACTCACACCGTGGGGCGGGAGGGTCTGGATCTGACCTGGGCATCTCATTCACACCGTGGGGCGGGAGGGATCTGACCTGGGCATGTCACTCACACCGTGGGGGCGGGAGGATCTGGATCTGACCTGGGCATGTCATTCACACCGTGGGGCGGGAGGGATCTGACCTGGGCATGTCACTCACACCGTGGGGCGGGAGGATCTGGATCTGACCTGGGCATGTCATTCACACCGTGGGGCGGGAGGGATCTGACCTGGGCATGTCACTCACACCGTGGGGCGGGAGGATCTGGATCTGACCTGGGCATGTCATTCACACCGTGGGGCGGGAGGGATGGTCTGGATCTGACCTGGGCATGTCACTCACACCGTGGGGCGGGATGGGGGGTCTGGATCTGACCTGGGAGAGGAGAGCAACTGGTATAAACAAAGTTATTTCACAACGTTGGAGGTGCAGCTTGTCAAACAAACTGCTCCTAGTTGCTGGCTGGTCACTCATTCCTGTGGGTGGGCCTAGTCGACTGGAGACACACACACAGCCCCTACAACCCCCACTATAACCCTCACCCTGGCGTCAGCAACTGATGCTCAGAATAGTTCACAAAGTCCGACACGCTACTGGCCTTGGGTTTCAGTTGAACAGCCTCCTTAAACACATCAATGGGATCACTCAGAGCCTTGTCCTCCCTAGTGTAGCGGCTGCCTGCATTCATTCCACAGATTTAGGTTGAAGGTAATTTGCTTTCCCAATATTGTTTCATTTCTGATAGGAGCAAAACTTTTCTCCCCATACTTATGCCACAATATTTGTACAATCAAAATGAACTCTACATTGGTCATTTTATTTCTAATGATTTGTCGCTGGGTGAACATGCCTGGGAGAGAACTAATAATAATAGCAAAGCAAGAATGGGCTTGGATCACGACATCACGACAAAGATGTCGACAGCAATGGAAATATTATACAGACACAAGGGCTTACCGGGGCTGAAGCCCCTGGGCCCAGGCCCCTGGGGGGGCCCAAGAGGCAGAAAAAATACATTTATATATAAAAATATAAATAAAGGAAATATATACAGTATGTATTATATATGTCCCCTTTTTTATTTTTTACTGCAACTGCCAACCACAGGAGGATTCAGGAGGATTCAGGAGGATTCAGGAGGATTCAGGAGGCCTCTCTCAGGAGGATTCAGGAGGCCTCTCTCAGGAGGATTCAGGAGGCCTCTCTCAGGAGGATTCAGGAGGCCTCTCTCAGGAGGATTCAGGAGGCCTCTCTCAGGAGGATTCAGGAGGCCTCTCTCAGTGAGTAGACAGCCTGCTGCTGCCTGCTGGTCGTCAGGTGAGGAGAGGAGGTAGGGGCACACCTGGGCATCTGGGGGGCCCTGCCTTGATTGGGTAACTGATTACTAATAATAATACAAATAATAAAACAATGCATAATAAATGTGACTGTGACTGGTCAACTGTGTGAGTCAGAGGCTGGGCAACCACAGGAGCCCGCTCTCAATGTTCAAAATACACCAGAGCGCATAATTTAGCCACAGAGGATCAATAGTTTCTCAAAAATAGCTATGGATTAGATTTGATCACAAGCACATACAGGTAACTGCCAAAATAAAGGAAACACCAACACATTGTCTTAAAGGGTGTTGGGCCACCACGAGCTGCCAGAACAGCTTCAACGCTCCTTGACATAGATTCTACAAGTGGACCTAAACCATGCCAGGAAAATACACTGCACACCATAACATAATATTTGTAGCCTTCATTTACTCAACTGTTTCCTTTATTTTGGCAGTTACCGGTTGCCTACCATTGGCCCAGTATGATTACCGGTTGCCTACAGTTGGCCCAGCATGATTACCGGTTGCCTACAGTTGGCCCAGCATGATTACCGGTTGCCTACAGTTGGCCCAGCATGATTACCGGTTGCCTACCATTGGCCCAGTATGATTACCGGTTGCCTACAGTTGGCCCAGCATGATTACCGGTTGCCTACAGTTGGCCCAGCATGATTACCGGTTGCCTACCATTGGCCCAGTATGATTACCGGTTGCCTACAGTTGGCCCAGCATGATTACCGGTTGCCTACAGTTGGCCCAGCATGATTACCGGTTGCCTACAGTTGGCCCAGCATGATTACCGGTTGCCTACCGTTGGCCCAGCATGATTACCGGTTGCCTACCGTTGGCCCAGCATGATTACCGGTTGCCTACAGTTGGCCCAGCATGATTACCGGTTGCCTACCGTTGGCCCAGCATGATTACCGGTTGTCTACAGTTGGCCCAGCATGATTACCGGTTGCCTACCGTTGGCCCAGCATGATTACCGGTTGCCTACAGTTGGTCCAGCATGATTACCGGTTGCCTACCGTTGGTCCAGCATGATTACCGGTTGCCTACAGTTGGTCCAGCATGATTACCGGTTGCCTACAGTTGGTCCAGCATGATTACCGGTTGCCTACCGTTGGCCCAGCATGATTACCGGTTGCCTACCGTTGGCCTAGCATGATTACCGGTTGCCTACAGTTGGCCCAGCATGATTACCGGTTGCCTACCATTGGCCCAGCATGATTACCGGTTTCCTACAGTTGGTCCAGCATGATTACCGGTTGTCTACAGTTGGCCCAGCATGATTACCGGTTGCCTACCGTTGGCCCAGCATGATTACCGGTTGCCTACCGTTGGCCCAGCATGATTAGCCAGTTGCCTACCGTTGGCCCAGCATGATTACCGGTTGCCTACAGTTGGCCCAGCATGATTACCGGTTGCCTACAGTTGGTCCAGCATGATTACCGGTTGCCTACCGTTGGCCCAGCATGATTACCGGTTGCCTACCGTTGGCCCAGCATGATTACCGGTTGCCTACAGTTGGTCCAGCATGATTACCGGTTGCCTACAGTTGGTCCAGCATGATTACCGGTTGCCTACAGTTGGTCCAGCAAGATTACCGGTTGCCTACCGTTGGCCCAGCATGATTACCGGTTGCCTACAGTTGGTCCAGCATGTGTACCAAATATACAGCTTGTTGTGTTGTGGCCGTAGATTTATAATCCATAGAAGAGTTTTGGAACCTGGTAATTTGACTATTAAACTCATAGGTACACTAGTAATGTTTGCCAGTCCTGACTTGAATGGGAACTGCCATCTGGATTATATTTCTACGGTTGGTTGAGGCTGTCTGTCTGTATTTAGTAGCCTAAGGCACTGCATCGCAGTGCTAGCTGTGCCACTAGAGATCCTGGTTCGAATCCAGGCTCTGCTGTAGCCGGCCGCAACCGGGAGACCAATGGGGCGGCGCACAATTGGCCCAGCGTCGTCCAGGGTAGGGGAGGGAATGGCCGGCAGGGAGGTAGCTCAGTTGGTAGAGCATGGCGTTTGCAACGCCAGGGTTGTGGGTTCGATTCCCACGGGGGGCCAGTATGAAAATAAAAAAGAATAATGTATGCACTAACTGTAAGTCGCTCTGGATAAGAGCGTCTGCTAAATGACGTAAAATGTAAATGATATAAAAAGCCTAGTGTAGCCTATGATTTCTTAATCCGGCCCTGTACGGTTTTGATTCGATTTATTAGGATCCCCATTAGCCGACACCAATAGCGACAGCTAGTCTTACTGGGGTCCGACACGTAACGAAAAATACATTACAGACAAAATAATTTACAATTTACATACATTTAAAAACTTCAACATGTAGTGTGTGTGTGTGTGTGTGTGTGCATGCATCTATCAGTTCCACATACATGTCAGTACATACACACAACAAGGTCAAATGGGGGAGAGGCGTTGTGCCGTGAGGTGTTGCTTTATTTGTTTTGTGAAACCAGGTTTTCTGTTCACTTGGTCTATATAAGATGGAAGGGAGTTCCATGCACTCATGGCTCTGTATAATACTGTACGTTTCCTTGAATTTGTGGGACTGTGAAAAGACCCCTGGTGGCATGTCTGGTGGGGTAAGTGTGTGTGTCAGTGCT